CAGAGATCAAATTGCCAACACCCATTGGATCATCAAAAAAGCAAGAGTTCCAGAAGCACATCTACTTTTGCTCTATTGACTATGCCAAAGCCTTTGACTGTGTGGATCACAACCAACTGTGGAAAATTATTCAGGAGATGGGAATACCAGATCATCTAAACTGCCTCCTGAGAAATCTGTGTGCAGGTCAAGAAGCAACAATTAGAACTAGACATAGAACAGCAGACTGGTTCCAATCGGGAAAGAAGTGTATCAAGGCTGCATATTGTCACCCTGTTTATTTATAATATGCAAGGTACATCACGTGAAATGCCGGGCTGAATGAAGCACAAACTGAAATCAAGATTGCCAGGAGAAATATCAATAACCTCAGGTATGCAGATGACACCACACTTATGGCAGAAAGCAAAGAAGACTTTGGCCTCTCGATGAAAGTGAAAAAGGAGAGTGAAAAAGTTGGCTTAAAACTCAACATTCAGAAAACTAAGATCATGGCATCCAGTCTCATCACTTCATGGCAAATAGGTAGGAAAACAATGGAAACACTGAGACTTTATTTTTTGGCCTCCAAAATCACTGCACATGGTGACTGCAGCCATGAAATTAAAAGATGCTTGCTTCTTGGAAGAAAAGCTATGACCAATATAGACAGCATATTAAAAAACAGAGACATTACTTTACCAGCAAACGTCCATCTAGTCAAAGCTCTGGCTTTCCCAGTAGTCATGTGTGGATGTGAGAGTTGGACTATAAAGAAAGTTGAGCACCAAAGATTTAATGCTTTTGAACTGTGGTGTTGGAGAAGACTCTTGAGAGTCCCTTGGACAGCAAGGAGATCCAACCAGTCCATCCTAAAGGAAATCAGTCCTGAATATTCATTGGAAGGACTGATGCTGAAGCTGAAACTCCAATATTTGGCCACTTGTTGCAAAGAACCGACTCATTGGAAAAGCCCTGGGAAAGGGCTGGGAAAGATTGAAGGTGGGAGGTGAAGGGGACAACAGAGGACGAGATGGTTGGATGATATCACCGATGCAATGGACATGAGTTTGGGTAGACTCCGGGAGTTGGTGATGGATAGGGAATTCTGGTGTGCTGCAGTTCATGGGGTCACAAAGAGTTGAACATGAATGAGTGACTGAACTGAACTGAACAGCATATAATCCTGCATTATATCCTTTCATCCTCTTTTTACCTATAGCATATCCTGCTTACTAAGGTCCAATTTTGCATTTTAAGTTGATCCTCATGATGCCAAGCACATATCTCCTCTAACATTGTTCCATGCTCATAATAACATCTTCTCTGCACCTCACAACTAAATTTACTTACTATTTCCCCTTAGGTCATTTTTTAGAATGCTAAAAAACAAATTTATGTCTTATTTTCTCATATAGAAAGTAAACACCAGGTTAAAAGAAACAGAGACTGAGAGAGAGAGGAATTGATTATTTTTGACCACATGTATGAACTCTTAGGGGCTTCTCAGGTGGTGCTAGTGGTAAAGAATCTGCCTGCCAATGCAGGCAACACAGGAGATTTGAGTTCGATCCCTGTGTCTCCAAGATCCCCTGAAGGAGGAAATGGTGACCCATTCCAGGATTCTTGGTGGAAGAATCCCAAAGACAGAGGAGCTTGGCAGGCTCTAATGCATGGGGTCACAAAGAGTTGGACACAAGTGAGCATCTGAGCAAAAGATGAACTCTTAGAAGTGAAAGCTTAATACAATGTACCATGAAATATGAAATTCTGATTTCATGGAGTATCCCATGGTACATTGTGTTAGAGGAAAAAGAAACAAATCAGCAGAGCGGCTGGGATGCAAGAGTCCCAAGGGAAGTTTCAAAGGTGTCACCTCCTTGTCAGTGACACGAAGGATGACGCAAAGGCTGTCATTGATCTGTGTGCTTAGTCACTCAGTCGTGTCCGATTCTTTGCGACCTCAGGGACTGTAGCCCACCAGGCTCCTCTGTCCATGGGGATTCTCCAGGCAAGAATACTGGAGTGGGTTTCCATGGCCTCCTCCAGCAGATCTTCCCAACCCAGGGATCGAACCCGGGTCTCCCATATGGCAGGCAGATTCTTTGCCATCTGAGCCACCAGGGAAGCCCGTCATTGTTATATGCACAGAAAATAATGCAGGGAGAGAGGAAGGGATGTGTGTCAGGAGGAGTTAGGCTAGAATTTTAAAGATAAGGTGAAAAGGCAAAAGGTCCTCAGAAACTGTGAAAGTGGTCTGAAACCAGCAGTATGAACACATCGGTCAAAAGGTCTCAAGCTCTGTGCTTTGTATTACTCAAACCTGAAGATCCACAGTCTCTTCTGCTGACTGACCTCTTCCTTCATTCTTTGTTCATGAAGCTGCAAACTGCAGGCTATAGAGCATCCTTTATCTATGTGGGAAAGATGGGGCAGCAGGCGAGAGCACTTCATTGCCTATTCATTCATATTTGTATTTTTATCAATCTATACAAATTCAAGTTCTAAGAGCCTTTTTTGAAAACCTGTTTCTTTCTTACACTTTCTTTCCTTATATGAGTTCAATAGGTAGTTTTCAGTCACTACTCAATTAGCAAAGAGTTGCTGTTAATGACTATTTCTAAGAGTTTATCATTCAGTTCAGTTCAGTTGCTCAGTCATGTTTGATTCTTTGTGACCCGATGGACTGCAGCACACCAGGCCTCCCTGTCCATCACCAACTCCTGGAGCTTGCGCATACTCATGTTCATTGAGTCGGTGATGCCATCCAAGCATCTCATCCTCTGTCGTCCCCTTCTCCTCCCACCTTCAATCTTTCCCAGCATGAGGGGCTTTTCCAATGAGTCAACTCTTTGCATGAGGTGGCCAAAGTATTGGAGTTTCAGCTTCAGCATCAGTCCTTCCAATGAACACCCAGGACTGATCTCCTTTAGGCTGGACTGGTTGGATCTCCTTGCAGTCCAAGGGACTCGCAAGAGTCTTCTCCAACACCACAGTTCAAAAGCATCAATTCTTCAGCACTCAGCTTCCTTTATAGTCCAACTCTCACATCCATACATGACCACTGGAAAAAGACTACATAGCTTTGACTAGACAGAGCTTTTATCATTACACTTGCCATTGGTTCACAGGATTGACCATTAATCTGAGATGCAAAGTGTGGGACCAGGCAGCCATACTTTGTATACCACTGGTTCTCTCTGTGTGAGGAGCCAGCCAAGTAATCTAGACCCCAAATCAGTGTCACCAAGCCCTGGAACATGTACCAGAGTCTGTTCCATTTGACCCATCAGTCAGCTATTGGCTCACATTACCACCTCCTAAGCTGACCCAGGAGTAATTCTTGGTACTTCATCACCATCCTTGCCCACCTTCAGGTTTTCTCTATCTGTCCTCTTTCTACCTAAAGAAAAGATTAAGTTGGTTGCTCTTTTAGAACTGGCTAAAAGTCCATCTTCCTAATAAGCTAAAAAAGTTTTTCTTCCTTTTGTCTCTATGTCTAAACAATGCTCATACTTTGCTAATTATAACCAACAAACTTAAACTTAGGACTATTATTTCTTACATTAAAAATAGTATTATGTTATATTATCATGATCATGATTTACATTCTAAGAAATACTATAGAGATCACAATATTAGAATCTCTCAAGATACTCAAAAGACCTTGGTACTCTCCAAAGGTACTAAAAAATATACAAAGTTACATATGTAACAAATATTTTTTAACTGCCTATTATTCCCAGGCTCTATGTAAGTGCTGGGAATACAACATTAAGTGAGATACATTATCAGTCTTCTCGAAGCCTATACACTAAGATAGTTAATATAGATGAAAGGATCCAAAGAATGTACTTCCAGCAAGACTCTACTTTCTCTGTGATTTTGTTTCTCCATCTATAAATTAGGGATTGAATTAGAACAGATTATTTCAAGCTTTTAAAAAAACAAGTCTGCTGATGGACATCTAGGTTGCTTCCATTTCCTGGCTATTATAAACAGTGCTGCGATGAACGTTGGGGTAGGACAAGGAAGCTGTGGTACATATACACAATGGAATATTACTCAGCCATTAAAAAGAATTCATTTGAATCAGTTCTAATGAGATGGATGAAACTGGAGCCCATTATACAGAGTGAAGTAAGCCAGAAAGATAAAGACCAATGCAGTATGCTAACGCATATATATGGAATTTAAAAAGATGGTAATGATAACCCTACATGCAAAACATAAAAAGAGACACAGATATACAAACAGACTTTTAGACTCTGTAGGAGAAGGCAAGGGTGGGATGTTCTGAGAGAATAGCATTGAAACAAGTATACCATCAAGGGTGAAACAGACCACCAGCCCAGGTTGGATGCATGAGACAAGTGCTCAGGGCTGGTGCACTGGGATGACCCAGAGGGATGGGATGGGGAGGGAGGTGGGAGGGGGGATTGGGATGGGGAACACGTGTAAATCCATGGCTGATTCATGTCAATGTATGGCAAAAACCACTACAATATAAAAAAAATAATAATAAAATTCAAATAAATAAATAAATAAATTTAAAAAGCAAAAAAAAAAAAAAAAACACCCCAAGTCTTTCTTCCCAATAATGATCCAATAAAATCATACTTAAAACCCCCATAGATAAGACATATAAGTTGATTGATCTATGAATTATAACATAGACATATTTTAATATGTAAAAGCTACTCTTTTTCAAAGAATGAAGAATGAATTCATTTTCCTAACAAATAAAAATTTTAACTTAAATTTCTCAGAAATATTTATTTTGAAGTAATTTGAATCATTCTGGCACTTTGGTGGTAAGATTTCCAAAAATACTTGCCACATGAATAAATGAAAAGCCAATGAATACTTTGTATCACAGATAACCTTAATATTTTCTGTACATGTGTTTGGATCCTTTAATATTGTGTTTCAGAAACATCTTCCAAGATGAAATGACCCTTACAAATGCAAATAAATACTTCATGACTTCTATATTTTAACTTCTTCTCTTTGAAAAATAGATTAGACGATAAAGATCAAGTGGTTCGTATCAACTTCAACAATGCAACTAGAGACACGATATTTGATGTACCTGTCGAGAGAGTTCAGCCTTTCTATGCTGCTCTGAAGGAGTTTGTTGACCTCATGAACTGTAAAGATTTCAAGTTTACTTTCAAGATGAATCCAGGTCAGTGAACACACCTCCTCAAACAACTGAAAGAATGGGTTTTCTTCAATTTTAAGCATTGAGCACAGTATCTAGAGCAGTTTTTCTCAGACATAGCAAGTGGAACAACTTACAACAGAGTCTTGGTGTATAGCCAGCTTGCTTAAATAGCAGACTTCTGACTCCTACCCTGGCTCTAAATTGACTTTAAAATACTCATCATTAAATAAGCTCCTAGGTAATCTTTAAACACATCAAAATTTAATAACCTCTAACCTAAAGAATAAATATTGAAAGACAAGCTACAGGCCAAATAAAATCTCATATCTGATATGAAGACTGATGACATATTTTCTATTCTGATAGCCAATCAATACAAACTGAAGCTTATACTTAATTTTCTTCTAAGTTGGTAAACAGATAAAATTATCCCCATGACTCTCACTCTAAAGTTCATGAGTCATGTTTACTCACTGCACTTATCTGATCTGGCAGGCATATTGCTACCTGAAACAAAGTCATACTGAAGTATTCCAGCCACTTGGATAAAGGAGTAGAAAGCATTGTGGGTTCTCTGCACCATCTCTGCTTAATAAAGTGACATGAAACTCAAGACTTTTGATATCTAAAATAAAAGGCCTAATTTCTCCCTCCTGTTGACTGGGCCAAGTAGAAGATACTTTTCTCTTGTGCCTTTTTTTTTTTAATTGATCTAGTAAAGTACTACTAGAATCTTCATAAATTCACTGTTATGCAGTCAACACCACATTGATTTTTAAGAGCAGTAACATGTAAAATGGAAATGCAATGGGAGAAAAATACCCAAAAAACAAGAGCTAGAATTCAAGCTTCACCATTTAATGGCAGAAACCTTCTGAAAGTGCTTCAACTTCTCAGAGCTTCAGTTTTCTATGTATGAAAAGATGAGATAATACTCTTATTTCAAGATTTTTATGAGGTTTAGAAATAATATACATAAATACTAAGAACATAAAAGACAAACCAAGAATGTCACTATCCTTATAATTATCTGAAGCTGTTAAACTAGAAATAAGAATTTCTTAAGTCAGAAAGAGAAAGACAAATGTCATATGATATCACTTGTATGCAGAATCCAAAATATGGCACAAATGAACCTGTCTATGAAACAGAAAGAGACTCTCTGACATAGAGAATAGACTTGTGGTTGCCAAGGTGGTGGCAAGATAGGGTGGGATTTCGGGGTTAGCAGATGCAAACTATTATATATAGAATATATAAACAAAAAGGTCCTACTCTATAGCACAGGAAATTTTTCTATATCCTGTGATAAACCATAATGGAAAAATATATAAAAATGAATGTATGTATATGTATAACTGAACTACTTTGTTGTATAACAGAAATTAACATAACATTGTAAATCAACTATATTTCAATTTAAAGAAAATACTTCTGAGTAGGAGATAAGTAACAATTAGGAAGAACAATTCAGAAGTTTTGCATAGAGATAATTGTTTAAGTAAGATTATAAAAGTGTCTACAGGGGCCTGACAGTCTATGTAGTTCAGATGTCAAAAGGCCTAAAGCAATCAGCATCTAGTGGTCTGATTTGTATGAAAAAGCAAATAATGTAATTTCATGTAAAGAAGTAAACATATTGTCTCTGGGTGTGAACGTGGCAGTGCTGTTTTTGCATTTCACATTTTCTAGCGCAGCGAATCATTTACACGGAAGATTATATTCACACTGTAAAAAATCTTTTGTCTAGGTGATGTGATTACCTTTGATAATTGGCGCTTACTTCATGGCCGACGAAGCTATGAAGCCGGAACTGAGATATCCCGCCATCTAGAAGGGGCTTATGCTGACTGGGATGTGGTCATGTCAAGACTACGTATCTTAAGGCAGAGTGTCCAGAATAGAAACTGACTCTCCTGTTGCTAACTTCGGTAAGATTCCAATGAGTGTATTTTATAAGATATGACAAGGTTATTTGTCTTCACAGACCATGAGCCATGTCAGTTATGTATTAATCTCTTTAACATTGAACATGTCATCTTTCTCACAAGAGTTCTCTTTTCTTTGTAATCATATACAGCACCGATTTTTTAGATGTTGTAGCCATGTTCCCTATTTTCCAAATAAAGCATCTCTTCTGTTCAGATGCATGTATGATCTAATTTCTTTTGCCTATCTGTGAGAGTCTCCAGAATGCCTTCAAATCTTTTTGTACTAAACCAAATTCTCTCTTCAAATAAGGCTTCTTTTGAATAAAGCTTTGTTTCAAATAAAGTTTGTATTTCAAATAATACTTGTCTCAAATAAGACATGTTTCTTCTCTGTTACCTGTAGGGTCTCATTTTTCATGACTTCATATAACTGTCTTTAACATGCTTGGGAATGCTATTTTCCCAAGCATAGCATTTTGGGATCATATTTTCAAAGATCTCTTTGTTTACTTTTATTACCAAATTCTGTGACCCAAATTTCCAGCCCTCATCAACCTAGTGAGCTAAGCTTTTCTTGTAATACATAAATTATGACATCAGACCCAAGAATATGTCAAATTAAAAGAAAATATAGTCCCCTGCCCTTACAAAGTTCCTCTTGCACCAAATAAATACTCCTAAGGACTGCCAGAATAACATACCCCTGCCTGTTGATCTGTTCCCTTCACTTCTTGCCTTCAACTAAGAACTAGTAAAGGTAGAACCAAGATGCACGCAACACCCATAAATGAACATGATGTCTGCTCACCTGTGGACAGCTTTACCTGCTGGTCTTGGCTTCCTCTATGGCCACTGCCTTGTCCCCAGTGGTGGAACACAGGAGTCACCACCAGCCATGAAAGCTGTTGTACCTGTTGAGTATGCCTACTGTGCCCAGTCCTTATCCATGTCTCCTGAAAAAAGGAGTCTTGGCATTTCCATTTGCTGAAATCCTGGTAGTATATAGATTTTTAGTCTACACACTTGGGACCCTAATCAAGCCTCCTATTCTGAAAGTCTTTCTCACTGCCACTGCTGGAGAGCTCTACCTTTTGGTTTATAACTAAATGAAAATATTACTTCCATCTGTGAGTTTCACACTCACACTGTGCCAATGGCACTGAGAATCTGGATGAAAAGTGCCTGAGGCCCATGTCAGCACACCCCTCTGTTTTCTGAACGCTGGTATTAAGTCCACATCACCAGCCCAGTCTCCTCTTTCCCTTGTAATGCTGGCCCTTTCTGGGGTGTTCATTGCCCTTTCCCAATCATCTGGTCTTGACGGGGCTACTATGGTACACCACATATGTTTGATTTTTCCAAACTCCAAATGGAGTGGGTCGGGTTCTCAATGACATCTCTTCTAAGAGGCTCCTAGAATGAAAATAGGTAAGTTCAGTAGGGGCATGGCTTGAGCTGAAGGGGCAGCTAATAATACCTAAAAACAAATAGCTAATCAGTACCTGAAAACAAATACATTTCTTGAGCAACCCTAGGTCCATCCACTTACAAAACCTAAACTCCAGGCACTTGCAACACTAAGGTGAGTTGTCATGCTTTTATTCATTTGATAGATATTTAATCACATACCAGGTATATGTCAGGCACACTGCTAGACTAAAGACACAGAAGGACTTTCGATGTACCTACTTATGGTCTAGTAGGGAAACAGATAAGGATGTAGATAATGATGTATTACATTAACAGAATGGTTCATAGGAAGGCATCCAGGTTGAATGAGGGTTAGCAGTAGTTTTCCTGGCAAAGACAGAAAAATTACTTTCCAGCTCAAAAGATAGAAGAGGCACAGAGAATTGAGAGTGATCACAGTGCATGTGCTGATTTACAAGTAAAAAAAAGAGCAGAACATAGGAATGGTGTAAATCCTGGGTTTGGATGCCTAGGTTCAAAGAGTAACAATAGTAATCAGTTAACTAGGTGTCTTTGAAAAAACTTCTTCCCTTAACCCTCAGATTCCTAGATATAAATGAGACTAAGAATAGTTATCTTATTAAATTATATGTGGATTAAGTAAAAGTTCATGGAGAGCAGAATTTTCTCAAAATTCTCAGATGATTAGAGTCATGTTTGTGTGTGTGCCTTTAATACTATTTCCCAGTCTCATTCTGTGAAGACTACGATTCAATGGGTCTGGGCTAAGAACCAAGAACTGTATCTTTAGCAAAGATCCCAGGTGATAGACATCATCAGAGAAGTTTAGAAAATATATAAATGTAAAGCATTTACATGGTTCATAAGTGAGGGTAAGTACTCAGTAAATGGTAACTATTGTTAGTTATAATAACAGAGGTTGTAGAGGGAGAGAATAGACAAGGATGAGACAAGATATATGATGCCAGAGACATAGATAAGGACCAGGTCATAAAACATCAAAATGAATGTTGCACTAAAGAGCTGACATTTTATCTTGAAAGCAATAAGGAGCCACTTAAAGGTTTTTTTTTTTAACGATAGAGTGCCTTGGTCAGATATTCATTTTTTAAAGCTCCATCTGGCTACAGTGTAGAGGAAATTGTAAATGAGCAAGGCTAGAAGCTATAAATCTACTTATGAGGTTATAAATCTACTTACTGTAGGAAGCTGGATGAGAGATTAAGAACTGAATTAAAATGCTGGGAGAGGGAATGAAGAGATACTTAGGAGGCTAAATCTACAGAACTTGATGCCTCTTTGCATGTAAAGAATGAAGGATGTGTTCAAAATGCCTGCTGGGTTTCTAGTTAAGAAAAATGAGTTAACTGTGATTCCGTGCTTAAGGAGAGAAGCCACAAGAGCAGAAGCAAGTTTGTAAGCAAGACAATGAATACGGTTTTGAACAGACTGAACTTGGATTGCCCTTGAGCTGATCTACTTGGCCATTGGCTCTATATATACATACTGCTCAGGACAAAGACCTGGATTGGCGATCTGCATTTGGAAAGTATCTGAAAGTAGATGAAATCATTACTTGCTTTCCTGGAGACATTTATTGATTGTGACCAAAATTACAAGCCTCATGGTATGATGATAAACAAATGATATTGGCCTAGTTTGTGGAATTAGTTACACCCTGAACATAAAGAATCAGTGGTGGCTTATATTCAAAATCAGCTAGACCACTTAAATATCATATTTTGTCACTAGAAGACAGCATTCCAAACCAGCATCCTACAGACTGGCTGTTTCCTTCTCTGTTGAAAAATTATTTCTGCCCTGGAAAGAAGGGGCAGAGGATTGGATGCTGTTGCAACAATTTCTGAAGCGTTATATAGGACATGACATATTATGGGCTACAGCAGCTGGTGCCGACGGAAGATGACTAGGTTTCCTGGATATAATAGTCTAAAGATTTGACTTTCCTCCAAACTCATAATAGATCTGATGTAACTTGGATTAGAATTTAGCCCCATTTGGCAGTGTGGTCTCATGATCTGTTCTATTTCTCTGATTTGATTTGTAGAATATTAGCGTCTTGGCTGGTTAATCAGAATAACTCCACAGGTCACCAGAATGACATGTCACAAGATATCTTCGTTGGTCTTTATTTCTCCCCCAACGGACCATTAAAAGGTGAATAAATGCGTTTTGTTAGTGAGAATTTATGCAAAAAGAGGAAATCCATGGAAAAGTTGGTGGACACTGAGGGTAATTTCTCTGTCCAGGAATTTAAATTAAGAAAGAGGAATGACTTTATGAATAAAAATACACTTTTGTGTTGTTAAATATCATTTTGAGAATAGATCTGAACCAAAAGTTCTTGCAATGAAAATTTGATTCATTTGGATGTAGTGGCTTATAACACACCTCTGTGTCTCTGCACATACTTCCCCACTGTCTGGACCACTCTTCCCTACCAACTTCTAGGCTTGTAAAATTCATCTTCCTCCTTCAAAATTTAGTATTTTTACCTCTCTTGTGACTCCTTCCCTGATTCTCCCAGTCAGGCTTAAAAACTTTCCCCTGGCTCCCACTGAGCTTTACATAAATGTTTGTTTTCTTGTTCCTCAGTCACTAAGTCATGTCCAGCTCTTTGCAACTCCATAGACTGCAGCACGCCAGGCTTCCCTGTCCTTCACTGCTTCCCAGAGTTTGCTCAAACTCATGTCCATTGAGTTGGTGATACCATCCAACCATCTCATCCTCTGTCATCACCTTCTCCTCCTGCCTTCAATCTTTCCAATGAGTCAGCTCTTCCCATCAGATGGCCAAAGTATTGGAGCTTCAGCATCAGTCCTTCCAATGAATATTCAGGACTGATTTCCTTTAGAATGGACTGGTTTGATCTCCTTGCAGTCCAAGAGATTCTCAAGAGTCTTCTTCAACATCACAGTTGAAAAGCATCAATTCTTTGGCACTCAGCTTTCTTTATAGCTCAACTCTCACATCTGTACATGACTATTGGAAAAGCCACAGCTCTGACTACACAGACCTTGTCAGCAAAGTGATGTCTCTGCTTTTTAATAAGCTCTCTAGGTTGGTCATAGATTTTCTTCCAAGGAGCAAGCGTCTTTTAATTTCATGGCTGTAGTCATTGCCCACAGTGATTTTGGAGCCCAAGAAAATAAAGTTTGTTACTGTTTCTATTGTTTCCCCATCTATTTGCCATGAAATGATGGGATTGGATGCCGTGAAATTAGTTTTTTGAATGTTGAGCTATAAACCAGTTTTGCCGCTCTCAAAAAGGCAAAAAGACAAAACATGTCCACTGGAGAAAGGAATGGCAAACCATTTCAGTATTCTTGCCTTGAGACCCTCATGAACAGTATAGATGTTTGTATATTCATCTATTTATTCTAGTAATATTCACGAGTACCTACTGCATGCCAGACACTATTCAGGGCACTGGTAATACAGTGGTGAACAAGACAGACACAAGGGTCCTCATAGAGCTAATTCTCTAATGGTAATACCAGGCATTGATCAAGGAATCACAGAAGTAAA